AAGCTCAATAACAAGGCCCCTAATTAGGCTCTAAGCCTTCTTCTCCTTCTATGCTACGGCAAAGAAGGAATTACAAGAGCCGGCGCAGCAAGCAATGTGGTCCCTTTCCTTCTTCTTCCCGTTCCTCGCTTCTTTTGGTTTGGATTCTACTTCTCTTATCCAAACTGGTGTTGGGGATTAGGGTTTAGATCTAGGGTTAGGGTTCAGAATCCGACCCACTGTTCTTCCCCAGAGGTTCTTCACGGGTTTAGGGTTTGGCTTTGATTCTCTTCTAGGCTGAATCCCTCTTCTTTTGTTCTTTTCTTCACCTAGTTAGGGTTAGGGTTAGGGAACCCTTTCACATGCTTTCGGATCCCGAAAGGATCTAATTCATTCTTTCCTTTTCTAATCGTTTCTAGTCCCTTCCCCTCTTCTCCAGCTCTTTTGGATTTTGAACCGATTTGGGGTTGTGGTTAGGGTTAGGGTTACTGTTCTTCTTCCCCGACGGGTTAGGGTTAGACTCACTCCGGAGTCACTATTCATCTTTCCCAAATGTAGTGTGCTTCGTGGGTTAGGGTTTAACCGGCGTCGAGACCCCTTTCTCTTCTCTTGTCCGAACGGGGTTTTTTTTTTTCTTGCACAAAGCTAATGCACTGCTAGCGTTCGAAGGACGGACCGTGCGGCACCTCTCTGCACCTTTCCTGGACAGTGACGGTGGCCAAGGACCCTGGTTATACCACCCCCCCCCCACCAACTCTTTTCATCTATTTTTTACCCAGTTAGGGTTAGGGTTTCAATCCGAAACAGATCGAACCCTTGTTCTTTCTTTGATTTCTTTTCAATGCTTTACCCCATACTAGATCTACACTGACAACCTTGGCTCTGATACCATTGTTAGGAAGTTCTAAACTCTAGGTGTAGATCTAGCAGGTAAAAACAAATATATGTTGGTGTACCTTGGTAGCTAGTGCGCCCGTAGCGATCGGAGATGAAGTTTCACCCTGTCACAGAATCCTTACGGCGACGCTTCTCCTTCAATGGGTCTGACGTCTGGGTGGTAAGACCGCAGAGAGCATGGAAGCGGTGCGGGGGCTTCCTGTCACGGCAATACCTTTCTTTAGATCGAATTAGTATTTCTCTTGTAGGTGGTTACGGCGGCTCAAGTCAACCTCGTAGTTAGAGCCCTGATCCCCACATTTTTATATAGTATCATGATCAGGTCCACCAACCATATCGTCGGTTGGGCGCCCCCGATCGGACGACGTGAGACGAAGAAGGGCCCAATAGGCGGTGAGGGATCAACTAACACATCAAGCACGACGGCGAACAGTGCTCCGTGAGAGGGTCTGCATCGGGGCGCCGAGGGAAGGGTCTGTGCATCTCTCACGCGGGCGGCACGCCCCCGTGATGCGTGCACCCGGCCCATCTGGCGGGCTCCATACATGTGCATGTGCACGCCCCTATCAATGCATGTATGCCTAGCGCGTTTGTTGCCATGGCGGCGTCATGCCCGGAGGACGCGCGCGTGCTTGATCGATCGTGTCTATGCACGGGGTGTTTCGGTCGATCGATCGATCGCCGCAAAACTGCACACGGCATGCGGCGCGGTGCATGTCTGGCGGCGCGCGCCGTGTGTGCGCTCAAGCGTCCAAGGCGCGCGGACGGCGGTCAGCAGTGTTGGTGCGGTGCGATGCGAGTGCGGGTGCAAGAAGATAAAAGCAGCAAACGGGCGAAGCGGCACCGCGGTGAAGTTCGCTGCGCACGGTGTTGGCAAGCGCGCAGTGTTGTGGAGCGGTAAGGGCGGGCCTCTTTAGACGCAAGAGCGCAAAAGCGCAAGACCGAACAAATGCGTCGTTAGCACAAGAGGCCGACGAGCAGGCGGGGAAGGAGGAGAAGATGCAACTTTGGCGAAGGGGAACTGTTACACATGTTCACTTTTACACATGACTTCTGTGCATACATCTCGTGCACATACTAAGGGAAAAAAAAGCGTCTCTACCGCCAGCAGCCCAAAAGTCCTGGCAAAAATAGCCCACGCTGGGCGTGAACACATCACGCCATGGCCAGATGTGGCCCAATAAGCAACATAGCGTACCTGCGGAGGTAGTACTGGCGTAGCCCTGGAGACATCCGCACGATGCAAGAATTCAGTCTGAAAACGAAAACAGGTGAGGGTACAGTTCTGCGTTGGTACGCAAAGACATTCATTCGGGCGCACTGGTCAATCTGGACCATCCGCACATAACTGATGATCATGGTTGCATGCGGTTTGTCTTCAGTACAAGAACGTCTCAAACTCTTCCAATCGAACTCCCTCCGACACTTCCAAGGTACTACTCGTCGATGCTTATCGAACCTGAGCATACACGAAATATCACTGAAACCACGATGTCAGCGAAGCGAGAGTCGGCTTACATAGATGAAGACTAATTTATTGAGCGGCGCCTTTGAGGTAGCGACGAGGAGGCAGGGGAGTTCTGGAGGAGAAGATGAAGTTTTGGAATCTAATTTTGGGGAACTGTTAAGGACATGTTCTCTTTTACACATGACTTCTGTGCATACATCTCGTGCACATACTAAGGGAAAAAAAAAGTGCGTCTCTACCGCCAGCAGCCCAAAAGTCCTGGCAAAATAGCCCACGCTGGGCGTGAACACATCACGCCATGGCCATTTCAGATGTGGCCCAATAAGCAACATAGTAGTACTGTACCTTTTTTTTTTATGGGAGGTAGTACTGTATTTGGTAAGTAGACCCTGGAGACATCCAGCACGATGCAAGAATTCAGTCTGAAAACGAAAACAGGTGAAGGGTACAGTTAAAACGTTCGTTGTACGCAAAGGCCACGTTCGGGTTATAGTTTCACTGGTCAATCTTGACCATCCGCACATGACTCGATGGTCATGGTTGCATGCAGTTTGTGTTCAGTACAAGAACGTCTCAAACTCTTCCAGTCGCTTCTGTAAACGAGTCAAAATATCCTACTTGTTACACTTGTTACAGCCAAAATTCCGCTGCCGATCTCCCTCCGACACTTACTATTCCAAGGTATAGCCATGTACCTTGCCGGCTTTAACTAACACCTAACAGGGCAACAAACAACACTTAGCGCCCTGTTTGGTGAGACTCCCATCCCATCGATGCTTATCTGAACCTGAACATACACGAAATATCCTACTGCACTGTCCACATCTCACGCGCCACGCCAGCGAAGCGAGAGTACGGGGGTGTTTGTTGCTTAGTAGTTCCTAAAATTTATTTTACATCGAATGTTTAGATATTAATAAAAACATTAAATATAGATTAATTATAAAATCAATTACATACCACTAATTTGCGAGGACGATTTTTTAAAGCCTAATCAATCTGTTATTAACATATGTTTACTGTAGCAACACGTTGTCAAATCGTCAAGGTTCCAATATGGATGGTTTTTATGTACCTAAAAAGATTTGTGAAAGTAAAGATCTTCATCGGTTCCATGTTGAAATGTTTCTAAGTGTCATTGATATGCAACTCCAAGAGCTCAATACATATCTTGCAATTTTAGTTTTGTTTTCCTTCGTAATTTTATTTTCTCTTCATAGGTTTGATGAAGTTAATACAGAGCTTCTTGTTTGCATATTTAATCTACTCCATACATGTGTCTAAGTACAGATTTGGTCCAACTTTCTTCGCAACATTTTTGATATGACAAGAAATTTAATAGCGCCTAAAGAACCAGGGCCTACGGCTGAAAACCACGGCTCCACGTCCGCACTAGACCACACGTAGTAATGCACAAGCCAGGCGCCAGTTATCATGCATTGATGCATCATCAGTGAACGGGTCGCACCCGACCGCGACGGCACACGTTGCCGACGAGTGGAAGACCGACCGCTCGCTCGCCGTGCCTGCCACTGCCACACCAGCTAGCTAGCTAGCGCACATCGAACGAGAGTGGAACGGGACATCAGCTCGCGACGCGCGCGCACGCACGCTGCCGTCGTTGCGATGTACGTAGACGATGGTGGTGGCTCGTGCGGCGCGAGACGACGCCATGGCTGACGCCGTCCCTCTCATCCGTGGTGGAGGCGTGGAGCACCCCGCACTACGAGCGAGAGGCCGAGAGCTATAGCTAGCTTGCTGGTCGTAGACTAGGCAGCGATACACAATTATTTCTCTGAAGAAAGGTGGCGAAATGAACATGTGTTTCTGTGGTGCGTTCCAGGTCGGAGCAAATATTCCTCTCGCCGTGTCGCGCTCATGGTCCAGGTGAACTTTCGCTTTCGGTCTCTTCTTTTTTCTCGCCATGCTTCAGCTAGCTCAGCTGTTCCAGCGTGACGCAGCGTCTTCCCCCCGAAACAACTCCAAACAAAAGACAGGGCCACACCGAAAGAGCCCGGCTTTATTCGGGCCGAAAAGGCAGGCAGGCAGGTTCATGTGAGATGATGCTCGTGCTCCCGTGTCACACACAGCTACTGCTCCCCCGTCTGAATCTAATGCGCAACGCTGTGAGGGATACGCATACGCTTGTAGGTAATGCAAGCAATGATGAGTATGCATAGACGTGCTCATAACCACTGATAAAAAGGATGGATGGGGTTTGGCACTTGGTGATCCCTTTTGAGGTTAGACAAAGCCGTAAAGCCCTCTCGCTCACTTCTCAAGGCACACACAAGGATGAAAGACGAGCTGCAGTGAACTTTAAACAGTAACCAATCCAGAGACGAGCAAATAATGCACACCGTACCAAGCTTTATTTGCTGCCCTTTTCTGAAATCATACAAGTCTAATCACCAATGGGAACTTTATCACGCGGCAATGCCACTGCAAGTATATTACAGATGGGGCAACATTTGGTCCAAATGCAACTTGTAATCACTTTAAGAGAGGGGCCAACAACACATGCGTCCACCATATATGACCACTTCATGGCTACAGCAAGCACAATTACAACCAAGATAACACGAGAGTCAAATGGAAAGAGGTACACTAAAGGCCTAATGCCGGCAACCTGTTGTCTTTTACCTTTGTTCTCCATTTATTCACAGGCCAATTTTGTATCAAAGCTGCTCAGACAAATGGCAAATGCCTGGAAAGCCGAGAGAGGGTAGCGATAGTCCATTGTGAACATATCCCTTGCCACTTTTCCAAACTGAAGAATCACCTTGTCTGGATCTGATGGAGCAGGCTGCGAGGGGGTTGGAGCACCTGCAGGTGGTGGGGTTGTCGCGGCAATCAGCTGGAAGTTCTTCACCGAGGCAATTGTCACACGGCCACGGAAGTTGAGGCACCAGCACTGCAGCTGTTCATGCCACCTAGGCGGTTTATTACGAAGCACCAATGGCCTCTCCTTGGTTTCACTCTCCTCTTCGTTGTCCAATCTGCCGCCAGCAATGTCAGAGAAGCGAGCACTGCTGCCAGGAATGCCCGTGAAGCGCGCACTGCTACCAGGAATGCCCGTGAAGCGAGCACTGCTGCCAGCAATGTCAGAGAAGCGAGCGCTGTTGAAATCCATGGATGAGTCCATGATGGACTTGGACAATGAGGTGGTGCTACGGAACGACTGCGAGAAGGAAGCCGTGCTGCGGAATGAATCCTCCAGAGCTCGAGGTACAATCTGCTCTGGCTGTCCAGGCACTATGCCACCTGGCTCCACTGATGAGGCGGGTATGGAGTGCATGATGCAACGCATCCGCCTAGGACCTCTTGTGCCAAGAACATTGAGCTCATATGACACCTGTGCGATGTTGTAACTAACAGAAGGCAACTTTGGAGAGACTTTTGTGGAGTTGAACCTCCTGCTGGTCCTTCCGGCAGGAGGAACTACAGCTCCATTATAGGGGGGTTGTGAATCATAAATTAAAAACCTTGTGCCAAGGAAGTTCGACCTGAAAATTAGCAATGCTATGCTTGTTGTTAAACTGTCAAACAGACTAAAAAAAAACTAGAGTGTATCTTTAAAAGACATAATGTTTACCTTATTTTTCCAATGTAGGTCCTGCTTGATCTTGAGATGTTGCCAGAATCCATTGATATAGTGTACTCGGTGCATGTGGTTTTGCGGTGTCTTTTAGCTGCTAAGAGGAATTTCCCACTTTCTGAAGTAACAACTGTGCACAGAAGAGAAAAATGAGTCGACAAATTCGATAAAGTAAAATAAGATAAACAATCCATTGATGATTTAACTACAAATATTCTCGTGATTAGGTTAAAAAAACAAATATTCTCATGAAGGTGATATTGAAACACCACACAATTTCAGAACCTAAGAGGTTTACAAGATATGAGATATAATCATGAAATCAAACACTCAAACAATAAAATAATATCTGGCTCATAATAATCCCATATGCTCCATAAAACAGGATAAAACTTATGAGCATTGCTATTGAATCTTGAAAGCATGCAAAGCATGTGACATACTGTTGCTAAGGCACAGGTAGAGATGGTAGGTGGATTTTGACTTATTCCTCTTTATAAAACACTGAATCATTGTATTTCCATCTCGAGGGCCAGGCTGTCAAAGAAACAAGCAATGTATCAAGGACAAGAAAGATATCTGCTGCTCAAGCCTTGGAGCTAATTCACAGCAGCATTCGGTTCAAAGATTGCTAACCGAAGGAGGTTGATTCTTCTTCCCCTTACCTGTTTTAGAGACACAGGGAAGGTGAGCTTCCCACAAAACTCCGGGCTCAACACAATCTCTTTACACATCTCCCTCCATGTCCTACAAACAGCTGCGAAGCAAACGACGTGCTTCCGTGCTGGCCAGGTGCTCTCATCAGCCTCCAGTCTCCGTATGATATCACGGATGAGTTCAGGAGGTAGATTCGCCCAGCGACTTTCACGAATTATGGAAGGTGAGTCGTCGACGACATGTGATGAGCTCTGGGTCTTCCCTTTGTGATGCCCAGTAAGGCCATAAATGCTTGCGAGGGTCACCTCGAAGCTTCTCCTCGACAAGCTGCCGAACCCATCCCTAACATCACGGACTATGCTACGAAATGACATCTACGGTCACCAATTCCAGATAACAAGGCATACAAAATCCAGGAGACTATGGCCTGACAATGGAAAACAAATAAAGGTTACAAACTACTACACTAGGTTTTCAGGAATTTGACTTGATAGAAGATGAACAAGGAACAGGTAGCTTGAAGTACCTCCTTTGAAATGACAACAGCAATAGAAAGTGCATATGCAAAAGAAACAGCGGCTACAAGCTGCCCCTGCAAAAAAAGAAAAAAAAATTAATGAGAGAATGTTTAACATGGATGGAATTGACTGGCATATGGTCACATCATCACAACTTTTAGTTGATTAAACATAGACATCATAACTACCGGGCATAGCCCCGTTCGGATTACCTTATAATCCGCACTATTCAGCTTATTTTTTCAGCCGAAACGATATTTTTCTCTCACAACCATTCAGCCAGAACAGTGTTTTTCAGCCTAGTTTCAGGAAGCCGAACGGGGCCATATCCTATGTTAGGTCCGGAGCATCACTTTGAACCGAAGAAATCTAGGATTTTTTAAGCTAAACAAACATGGGCACATGTGAGTGCCCAATTCGCATGGGAGCTTCTGGACGTAGCAGCAGAACCATATTAAACACAGTGGCTGATTGACATACCATTTCGTCGAGGAATTACGACTCTACTACAAGGATCCATTATTTTATCTCGGGAAATGTTTAGCTTGCTTCGCGTACGCAAGTTGGTATAAATTTGAACGCTAAATACGCACGGTAAAAGTGTAGAAATCGAAAATTTTCGCTCGTCAACGGCGCAATGGAATTAGCGAAGCTAAGAGAAGCAAGACTCCAGAAATAAATAAAAGGCCTAGAAGTCCAGATTCCTCCCAGAAATCTGCCCTGGAGAACACTGTGTCCAGCGAATCAGAGCATGCGACCTACCGATCTGGCAAGGAACGCCCCCGCCATCACCACAGCTCCACTCGCCACACACACTGACGGACCAAACAAACACTCCAAAACCTAAGAAGATCGAAACTAAACCAAAAACCACTCACCACCACCCCTGTGTAACGGGAACTCACATTCCTGAAAGCCGACGCCGCCTCGCCCCGCTACCGGGGACACAGGCCTCAGATCAGTGCACCCGCCACGAGCTCGGCACGCCCGTCGGTCTGTCCTTCCTGGCCACCGCGGCGCGCGCAGGCACGCGCGCAGCTGAAGGGGAGAGCGGCGAGGCGAGGAGAGGGGAGAGAGGCAGGGGAGGAGGAAGAGAAGGAATGAGGCGGACAGGGGACCGGGGGGCGCTGGGTTTGTTTATCCACCCGGCCCCCGGCGGTGGTGGGGCGGGGGCGGGGTGGGTTGACCGCACCTTTCCGTTCCGTCGCGGTGGGCGGCCTCGTAACGGCGTTTGGATGGGCCGGGGACCAGCAGGTGGCAGCACCGGGCAGCGGCTACTTGCCTTGCCCCGGCGCTCACGCCATGAAAAGCGGGGCTTGCACTGCCCCCATTTGTTTGTTTTTTCTTAATATTTTTTGCAGTGCCTTTGTGCTTTGCCGCCCCGCGCGCCCCACACGCGGCACGGCGGTGGGCCTGCAGTGGTGGCCTCTGGTGGGGTGGGTGGGCCGGTGCTCGGTGGGGCGAGTCCGTCCACCGTGCAGGTGCAGCAGCCCTGCACCGTTGAGCGAACAGAGGGAGTACATCGAGTCCGGGTACCGTGATCTGATCGATCCTCATCTGATAGCTTGTGACTCTTGTTTGTACGATCTCAATGGTGGTAGTACTCCTACTTAGGAGTAGTTTTGGAACAGTAACATTCCCTTCCTTTTTACCACGCGGTAGAACTAGCTAGTAGCAGCAACCGGTCAAACCGTATGGTGACATGATACGGCAGCTGCACATGAGATCCTCAGAAGCAGCTCGCTCAACGCAAGAATCGTCGGCAATCGATTGTTCTATCATCGCGTACCGTAGTAGCCATACTTTGACGCTGGATGGTGCTTGTCCTTTGACCAGTGGCCACAGTGCGCACACTCACAGTGGAGCGATTCTAGAAAAAAGAATTCGGCAAGATACAATGGCGCTCAAACGTGCGCTTAAAGTTAAGTAAACGGCGAGTACAGTGCGTGTATATGCTTCCATTTGTTAGCGTCCCATCAACCAGACTTTCTCGTGCAGTTTCGTAGAGTTTGGTTGGCTGAGACCTGCGAGTTGCTGTACACGTTCCCACTGCTGACTTGACTCTGGAACAGCAACTCTCGATCCCGGTGGGTCCAGGCCGGCGATGAGCTCGCCGTTTTCCGGCGAAGTCCACTCCTGCAGTTCACTCTGGAAACGCGTAGGCCAGAGGAGCACGCAAAGGCTCCCAAAACACAGCGAAAAAAAAGAGTCTGCTCCTGCACGCGGGAGAGAGAAAGGAAGCCTTAGGCCTCGTTCGTTTAAGGCATTACAAGGCCAGGAATCAACTCCCCCAGTGAAAGCTTATATAAATTAAAGTTACCAGTCCGGCTGGGAATTCTTCCAGGGGCTCGTTCCCGGTGAAACGAACGTGGCCTTGAATCGAGCCGTGGTCCTCTTTTCACTTTCCAGCGGTGAAGGAGAGGCCGTGACAGTATTATCGTATCGAGTTTTCTCTCGATCAGAGCCTTGCATTGCCACAGGAGAGGAAGGCATAGGTACCTTCCGGCGCTACAGAGACGCTACGCTGTAGTAGCCCATAGGGTGGTTGTGGTTGTGTCTGTGCAGTTCGGTTCGTTACGGTGATGCATGCGGATGCGGGGGCTTGGCTTCACGGCCCCGCGCCGTCTGGTGTTCGGTGGGAGCGGGCACGGCTCCGTCCGTCAGATGTCGTCGCCGTCGCGCGCGTGAGAGAGCTCGTGGCTGGTTTGCCTGTCTGCCTCTGCCTGGCCGAGGCCCGAGAAGGTTCCAGCGACCGGGACGTCACCGCAGGTGGCAATTGCCCAGTTGGGGTTGGGGCCGCGTCAGGCGTGCAGCACAGCACAGCAGCTTGCTGCGGCGCGGGCGGCCTCTGACGCCAGCCGGTCGTGACCAACGGAGCGTCCAAGCGCCACCGAGTGGCAGGACAGCGTTCCTCCGGAATCCGTACCAGTTTTGCACGAAACGGACGATAAAAGTAAACCATCCTATAAAATAAAACTCACCTGCTGCCTTAATCTACTTGGTGAGATAGCCAAATATCTTGCGAATTTGGAATAAGCGTTTTATTGGGTGACCAGGATACATTCCTATTCTATAGCTTGTTTAAATCAAGAGATGTAAAGTTTTAGAGTGTCATATAGGTTGTCACATCGGGATGTTGTATGGGGTATATGTTACAATAATTCGTCAGTAATCCGCGAGACGAATTTATTAAGTTTAATTAATCCATCATTAGCACATGTGTGTATTGTAGCATCATGTTGTCAAATCATAGACTAATTAGACTTAAAAGATTTATCTCGCAGATTAGTCACAAAATATGCAATTAGTTATTTTTTAAGTCTATATTTAATACTCTATGCATGTGTACGAATATTTGATGTGATAAGAAGTAAACTTTAGAGGTTAGATAAGCTGCTGCTAGCTAGCTGCAGCAGAAGAAGACGGTTTCAAAATAAATCATGGCAGGGTGGCAAGTTCATACTACATCACTAGTCGAGATTAATCAGAGGTTAGCGTTGTACTGAATCTGAATGCCCGTTCCAACTCTTGAAATAATGCTGTGTCGTCTTGTACAGAAGCATTTGTCATCAAATATATAGATGTTAGTAGACGTATAAAGGCTGAAATCATCGGCGTTATCATTCCAACCACTATGTAAACAAATCCGGCTGCTGGCCTCGGCATATAACTAAACCCAGCCGATGCATGAATCATGCATAGGCCAAAGGGATAAGATAATGCTGCATGCGTACTAGACCACCGTCCACGCATTTGTCTGCTATCATCAGACGGAAGAAGGAACTCAAAGCAGCATTATTAACAGTTTCATCGTCTCAGCTCTGCTCCTAATCCTATCTCCAGCTAGCTTCTCGGTTCTTGCCCTGAAAGACATGGATCAATGGATAGCAGTGCTTGAACGACCGACTGCGGCCAGGGCTTCTGCTGGGCTCTCTCGGCTCGTCCAATCCTCCTGCTCTTGTGTCCGCATGCAGACAGACCGAAAGATAGGTGCTTTGGTTTCATGCTGCTGTATTCTTACCCAGCTTTCCTCCTTTTCAGCGATACGTTTGCATCACCGGAAAAATAAAAGCTGGGTTGATGCTACCGGTGCTTCTTTTCATTCAACGGCAGCATCAAGAAAGGAGAGCACAGAGCAGAGGAGTACAGTACTCCTACGTGAGCACCAGTGATCTGATCGAGTGGTAAACGTTTAAACAGCCGCAGGGCCAGCATGATAGTGCCTAGACATTTCTCTCGGGGGCGAGACCAATAAAGCTGTATGGACTTTTGGGAGGAGGGAAGGGAACAAAGTCGTATATACGGCACGCGTACGTGAAAATGTAAACAGGGTGTACAGATACTTATCACGTACAACCCAGCTGGGCACACCTTTTGCCGTCCAGGGATTATTTATTTTGACATCAAATAAGATAACATTTTTGTCTTTTCAGCAAATATATAATCAGCCCGTTCGCTGGTTGTTTTCTGGGCTGGTAAACCCGACTGGTGCTGATTTGTTGTGAGAAGAAAATACTGTTGGCTGACTGATAAGCCATGACTAAAACCAGCGAGCGAACAGGCTGAATAATGTGTGTGGACGTATGCTGTGTTCGGCTGGGATAGTTCGGCTGGCTGGCTCGTTTTTTTTCCCAGCTAGAGCAGTGTTTTTCTCTCACAAAGTACCCGCATGAACAGTATTTCCATACCAGCAGCGTGAACAGTATTTTCATACCAGCCGAACATAGCAGTAAACGTCAGATGCCGTTCAGTCTAACATGTTCCATATGCTTAAAAAAATGCCAGCGGAGCATCAGCGAAAGCGGCAGCTGGGATTAAAATTCCTGCTTCGGATGCTAGGATCTGTTAATAGGAGTCCTGCTACCAAACTGCGGGCAGACCTGCTATCCACGTCATCCGATAAGCTTCGAGCCATTGGATCGAGCGAACTAACGATATGGGCCATCTGATTGCGCATTGGTTCGGGTTTCAACCATTAAGCTGTCAGCACGGGCGTTCGAGAATCATTAGGAAACCGCATGTCCGTCCGGCCTCCACTTGCCACCACAGACCGAGCAGGGAGTTGCTCAAGGCCCAAAAATTAGCTTCATAGACAAATACAGTTCAGTCAACACCTAAAAAGAAGCTAGAGAGAACTCAGCTGTAGCATTGGTCCAACACAAGAAACTGACTTCTTTGTAGGAGCAAAGGGCTCGGATCAGTATCTCAATGCAACTCCTAGTATTCTTACCTCAGTTTATTTAACCTGGGCCAAAGATTTAGGTGGAAACATTATCAGAGACTATGGGTGTTCGGTTGATCCATTCTTGGCTTATTTCGGTTGATTCAATAGTGTTCTGTGAGAGAGAATAAACTAAAATAAATTAAGACTAGACAAGGAGAATGGGCTTTATAAGTGGATACATCGTCTCGAGAGAACTCTAAGTCACGGCTCACAATCTTACACTAAATTGTACAGTGGCACAAATCTGATGTAGGCGTGGCAAAGCCACGCCCATGTTTCTAGCACGTAGGGAAAAGTACATAGGGGAGGCGTTACGGAGAGGGGGACAAGAGGGTGCAATCTGGATGCTGACCTCGGCTGTACTGCCTGTCGTCGAACTGTTCCACTATCGTGAGCTCTTGCGACGCATTTTCGTCAGACCTTGCTGACATGTAGGAGTACGTAGGTGCTGCTGGACCCTTTGAGAACGAGAGCAGGGGACCCCCAAGAGGAGCATGTGTTTACATAAATATCCATTGTTTGCAGTAGTAACTCAGGGGTACATAACAACGTGATGTGTTTGATGAAATGATGAACGATCCGCTTCTATATGTGAATGTTTATTTTTTTTATTCAAAAGGTTATAGCATGAAGTTTTTGTCTGTTTTTTTAAAGAGAAGAACAGTTAGTAGGTTTCATTCTTTGTTACTTTGTGGAGCTGGAGAAATCGTGATGCCCCGAAAAGGGAGAAGTTGGAGAAGTCGAAGAAGTTCATGACCATTTTTGGCTCTTGATTCACCAAGGCACCGTTTGGATGCCGAAATTTTTGGCGAAATGCTACTGTAGTATTTTCGTTGTTATTTGGCAAATGGTGTCCAATCATAGTCTAATTAGGCTTAAAAGATTCGTCTCGTGGATTTCGTCTAAACTGTGTAATTAGTTTTATTTTTTATTTATATTTAATGCTTCATGTATGCGTCCAAAGATTCGATGTGATGGAAAATCTTGAAAAATTTAGCATTTTGAAGTGGAACTAAACAGGCCCCAAAAAGAAATGCAGATCGCCAAATCCATTTGCCCTAAAAAAAAGTATCGATTGGTTTGGCAGTGCTGCCTGATTGCCTGAACCGGCCTACAAACTCGACTAAGGCTAAATTTCTGATAAGATAAGAAAGGGCCCATGACTGAGCACCTCTTTCGCATTAGAGGTCTGGCCCATATGGAGAATATGGGCTACTAGTGTGGCCCATAAGGCCCTTCGGCCCTGGTGAGCAACATGCTTTACCGCACCACAGAGAGAGGTCCGGAGGGCGCCGCGCCGCAAAACGCAAGCACATCCCGTCGCCGAAGCCAGTGCGATTGTGCGACCCAGCGGTCGATTCGTTGGGTAGCTAGGGTTTAGAGGTTTCTGGGCGCGGAGCGGCAGGAGGGTAGGCGGTGAACAAGGCGGCGGCGATGGCGGCGGTGGAGGAGGAGATCGCGGTGAAGGAGCCGCTGGATCTGATACGGCTCAGCCTCGACGAGCGCATCTACGTCAAGCTCCGATCGGACCGCGAGCTCCGCGGCAAGCTCCATGTAATTAACCTGTCTGCTTCTCTTTGGACCTTTTGCTTTATTTTGTTCTGTGCTTGTGGTTAGTTTGGTGTAGAGAAGATTAGGCTCGTTGTAGCGTCGGCCTGGTGCGTCCGTCTGCCGTGAGTACGGAACTACGGATTTAAGGGAACGATGTATTATGGCCTTGATGATGAGCTTCTATGCTGCTAATTCGTCATTGTTCTGTAATTAAATTGTATATTCACTTCATGTTATGCTAAATGTGTTAAAACTAAATGTGGTGGTTTCACATAATGCAACAATTTTGACGAAAACTGGACCACAGGAGGTTTAATATGTTACTGTGTGATAGTAACATTCATGACTTTGAAACCATCGATATGGGTTGATATATTGATAACAGAGGCTACAGACATTTTTGTGTAAGAGCTAACACGGGATGAGTGGGTGTGGAATGAGTAGAAGGTCCTTGAGGCCTAAGCTAGAATTGTTCCCTCTGTTTAGAAGGTCATTTGAATGCTCAAACAGTTTTTCTGCCTCTGCTGCAAGCTGTTTTCTGAACTTTGTGAGTCGGGCTTCGCTGTTTGAGACTCTGTTTCCATTCACGATATAGGGAACTGGGGCATTAGTCCTTTATTAACTCAGCAACTCAGCTGTGGAATGTGTAGAAGATCCTCGATGCATATGCAATGAATTTGTTCCCTAAAGTCATCGTAGTGCTCAAACAATTTTTCTGCCCCAGCTGTACACCGTTTTCTGAATTGTCATTTCGGCTTAGCTGTCTGAGATTATTTCATTTGTGCTGAAGGTAACTGGGGCATCAATCCTTTTATTCTAAACATAAATATCTTGATAACATAACTTGTGGATCATTTTATCATGTGACATGGTATATAGATGGCGCATAACAGATTAGCAGTAGCATTCCTGATTTATGTGATTGTCATTTAAGAATGCTTCTGCAATATACTGAGCTTAGGGCGCGTTTAGATGGCGATTTTTTTGTTTTGGCTACTGTAGCACTTTCGTTTGTATTTGGTAATTAGTGTCTAATTATGGACTAATTAGGTTCGAAAGTTTCGTCTCGTGATTTCTCACCCAACTGTGCAATTAGTTTTGTTTTTCGTCTACATTTAGTACTCCATGCATGTGCCGTAAGATTTGATGTGATACTTTGGGATGAAAATTTTTGGGAACTAAACAGGGCCTTATTCTAATCTGTTTGGAATCTCATGATGAATAACAATTATAGATGCTGGACATTTTGTATTTTTATGATCCCCTTTCATGGCTTGCATTTATTGTCTTATGATTTGTTGTAAATCTTTCTGTTGCATGCCCTGTTGTGGCTTGCTTTCAGTTGCATTTTCATGATTCTCCTATCTTTCTTATGAGTTTGTCAATTCTTTTTTTGTCTGTTGAGTTTTATCTTGTATTATGTTTGGCATGCTGAGGTAATTGTTGGTTGTTGCTGACATGTTCTTTCCCCTCTTTTATGCAGGCGTATGATCAACATTTAAACATGATACTTGGAGATGTGGAAGAGGTTGTGACAACTGTTGAGATAGATGATGAAACATATGAAGAAATTGTGCGCGTAAGTTCATTTGCTTTTCTCCCCTAATTCTTGATAAATGTTCAGTAAGTCAATTAGTCAAAAACTATTGGATGCCAGGTTATCATTTTCATTGTCCTTCAGACTTTGATTGGTTATGTTAGATATTCATCAAGGATAGTGGCCATTAAGAACCTTTCAAAAAAAAAGATAGTGGCCATTAAGTAGACCTCAAATAATGAGGAGTTAACGACTGAGGTGTATAGTGCATGCTATTACATCCTTAAACTCATTTCTTTGTGGAGTTTTAATGTGTTTATAGTGAGATGGGCATCCATTAAAGACATTTGAGCGTAAAGCTATCTGAGACTTTTAGGCTGCTTATACTATGGTTCTGACTCTGATATAAGACAGTGTGATTCCATACTCTGAAATGACTTATTACCTACTCTTAATCTTTGAAATGTGTATTATGATATACACTAACTATTTGCTGGATATTCTTTGCAGACCACAAAACGCACTATCCCCTTCCTTTTTGTCCGAGGTGATGGTGTCATATTGGTTTCTCCACCCCTTCGAACGGCATGAAGTTTGAAGTTAGGTCGTGCTGGTTGTCAAACTATGACTGGTGTATTTGGCCACTTGACGGCGTTGCATGGAGTGTATGCTATAGGCCTAGCTGCTACATTTTTCTGATGGGCTGTAGGTTTAACATGTGATACAATCGTGTAAACAACTGCTTGTGCTTGGATTATCTGTCGAATATCTTGTGGTGGTTCTGTCTCAGCTAAAGTTAAATCCTTGCTTGAAGTAATTTGTTCCGCGTCCCAAGTATACTTGTTGCAGATATTTGTACTGCAAGTAACACATCATTTTCTTTCTGAATGCCTGATCTTTCAGAGTCCAGACCGGTGAAATACCTGGAACTACACAAGTTCTGGAAAGCCAAGCTTCCAGACCGTCCTGTTTTTTTGCGAGGCTACCTTTGTTTCTTGCCATCCTGGACAGGAGCACTTCTGTCCTTTGATGCAACAACGGACAGGAGCATTGACCATGGAACTCTAACAAAAAGAGAAATGCCTGATCTTGACTGATAGCTTAGCTAGTGTCGGAAGGACGTTAGGGTCTGTTTTGTTTGGATCTCTCTTTTATCTTCAATTGAAATAGCTATAGAACGTTTCTCTATTTCCACTCATTTATAGAAAAACTAAAAGAAGGGTAGGCCTGGTGCAGTGGTGAGAGCTGTTTCACTGAGTCACCAGGTCGTGAGTTCGAAGCAGCCTTCCTCAGACCTCACTCATGTTAGAGCCTCTGGCACTGGGTTTGCCCTTTTTTATAGAAAAACTAAAAGCTAAAAATCAAAAGTAGGATCTAAGATGCTATGGAAATTGTACTTTCCGTTTTTTGGCAAAAGAAGTATCGTAGAAGTTCAACCAAATACAATCTTAATTAAAATTAAAATTTTAATAGCAAAGACGTGGTTGAAACGGGAATTGTGAAAATCCTGAAACTCGAAACGTCAGCTAGTTTGACTTCTTATCTTCGAGTGTTTCGAATTCATAAAAATTTCCCAACCATAGAAATCTTCCAATCATTCGATTCCCGAGCCACTAGGGCTCTTGGAGGAACAACAGAATCCGGTAACTCTGTGCTCAGCAATAATTTCTCGAAACCGAAAAAGGGGGCCTGGCTACTGCGACCCGCCTGCCCCGCGTGGGCCAAAAGTCGTCTTCTTGCTTGCCAATCCGTCGCCCCACCTGAACACACCGGCGAAGAGAAGGCGAAGAAGCGATGGGCGTCACCAAGGAGGACGTCGAGGCGGCCATCACCTCCGCTCTCAGCCCTTCCAATCTCGTAAGCCTCTCGTCGCTCTAAACCTCTCCTGCTAATCCATCGATCTCCATCATAAACCCTAACCGCACCGCCCCCGTGCCTCTGCAGGTGGTGACCGACACATCCGGAGGGTAAGCTCGCTCGCTCCCAATGCCTAAACTTATTTTTTAATTAGCGTCTTCAGTTGTTGACTGACCAACAAAGAGCGGATCTTTGTTGCGTTGTTGATTGATTCGTCGGTGCGAAGGTGTGGTGCGAGCTACGAGATCGAGGTGGTCTCGGAGAAGTTCGAGGGGAAGCGGCTGCTGGAGAGGCACCGGATGGTGAACACCGCGCTGGCGCCTCACATGGCGGAGATCCACGCCGTCTCCATCAAGAAGGCGCTCACCCCGGCTCAGGCCCAGCCCCAGCCCCAGCCGGAGCCCGCCGCCGATAAGCCCCAGGCTTAAGTGCTTAATTAACACCCCCAAAACTGTTTGATCACATATGCTGATGCACTATTAGTCCCGGAGTCAAGCTATGCATAACGCATCTGTGTAATATGTGGTCTCTGCTACACTGACTATCTGCTTGAATAATGTGGCGGATGCAATTGCTAAATTGCAGGATGTTATCCTTGACTGATTAGAAACTTCTGCACTATGCATTTAACTTCTCACTTCTGTGTTGTTCTGGGTGCTTCTGCCCTGATCGTTTGCTTGAGACTGTGTTGCAGCACTGTTATTCCGCGAGGGTGTTTTTTCAGTCCTCGAATTGTGATATTTGACTGTGTGCTATGTCTTTCCTTGCTTGTAGGGATAAGGGGTTTATTCTTTAACCTTGTAATGACTGCATCTTGTTTACATAACATTTTCTTTTCCTGATTGATGATGCCACAATCAAGATGAATGTGTTTTCCTTGCTGATATAAAACTGGATACAAGTATTTGGTGCTGGAACTGCAATAGTTTACAGTTTAAGCTGCGAAAATAATTTATACAAGCTTGATGATGCCACAATCTTGTTTGTACTTTGTAGCATTGCATTGAATTATAGTGCCTGATGATATTCTTTTTGTGCATATGGGGGTGCTGGGGTTCTTGTGAAGTAACCGGATAGTGGTGTTGGAATTTCTTTTTGTCATAAACATTCCAATGTGTTTGACGTTTGCATGGAGCCATGGACACATGAACAGCAGCACATTGATTGTGGCACCATAGCTCACTTCTATTTGCAAGTGTTGCTATCATGTCTTAATACACAGTTTTTTCTGAAGGCAATGGAAATATTTGCAAGTGTTGCTATCATGTCTTAATACACATGCCTTTCCTCTATTGATATGATATACTTGCGGACCATAACTTTGGAGACAGAGGACCTTCTGAGCTGACTACTTCCGCCTATGCCTAACTACTGACACTGGTTTCTGGGCTGACGATCTGGAGAAGACATGATCATTTGGACTCTGGAACCTTCAGGTGAATAGACGGCAAAATCAGCTTATGCAGTACAGTTTGGTGGCCAACATCGATCAGATTTTCTGGCTACGATTTGGAAACCGTGGGCTCCGGTACGCTGCAAGATCTTCTTGTGGCTACTGCTGCAGAACAGAGTTTGGACAGCGGGCTGTTTGCCTGTTTGTTGATCAGAGAATGGGTGGATGACTACTTCTTCCCTCTGTGAAAGAAACTTAGAAACGGCATGCCACCTCATCTTGGAATGCCCCTTCTCCACACAGTGTTTGGAGCAGCTCACCGAAGCTGAACCCTGAGTTGTGATGCCTACAACATAACCTGCAGTTCTGGTTTACAGACAAGGTAAAGAATGGAAGCAAGGCGGCTCACTCCCTAACTATTCTAGTCATCTGAACCTTGTGGATACAGAGGAACGAGAGAATTTTCCAGCGCCAAGGAATAGTCAGTGGACTCGATCTTCTTTGGAATACTTGGTCACTCCCTAACTATTCTAGTCATCTGAACCTTGTGGATACAGAGGAACGAGAGAATTTTCCAGCGCCAAGGAATAGTCAGTGGACTCGATCTTCTTTGGAATACTTGGTGAAGCATTCTTGTGGGGAGCTAAAGATCTCAAACTTCTGGTAGTAGATATACATAGAGCGAATAATGTCTATATCTGCTTTCCTACACCATACTGGCAGTCTGCGTACACTACTCTCTTCTCTATCTACTACTAAAAAGAGCCAAATGTCATCGTCACCGCTAAACTAATCGCCCCCCCTCGCGTTAAACTCCGCGCTAATCATCCCCGCCCCGCTCTAACCGACCCGCGCTCACCTCCCCCTACGTGAATGGGAAAAAAAATACAACAACTGCCTGCACGCGCAGTGCGCACGTCAGCCTCTCTTCCCATCTCCATGGCCGCCTGCATTTCTCCTCGCCTCCGCTCTCATCCCACGCCTCGCCTGCTGCGCCAACCTCCCCCAACTTCAATCCAGAATAGGGATCGAGATGGCCAAGCTTCTCTGCTACCTCTACGCCGCCGCCATCGCAGAGGCCCTCCTGCCGTCTCCTCCCCCCGCTCTTCCGCCGCGGCGCCGCTGCTCCTCGCCTTCGCCCCGTGGGGCCACGTTCCCCGCCGCGTCCGCCTCCCGCGGCGCTGCCCCCAATCGCGTCCCCGCCGCTGCCCCGCCCTGCCCTGCTCTGGCGCCGCCGCTGCCGCACGCCGCGCCCAACGACGTGCCAGTGTGCCAGTCGATGACCACTGGCTCCACTCCTCGCGTCCCCGCCGCTGCCCCGCCCTGCCCTGCTCTGGCGCCGCCGCTGCCGCACGCCGCGCCCAACGACGTGCCAGTGTGCCAGTCGATGACCACTGGCTCCACTCCTCGCGTCCCCACCCTCTCCTCCAGGTCGCGTGTGCGGTGGTCAGCAAGTTCCCGATTGGGTTGCTGGCTGTCGAGGCCGCGGGCAAGGCGGCAGCGTCGGCCTCGGTCTTGGCCTCGGTGGCCGTGGACTGGTGGCGAAACGTCAACGAGTCGCCGCTGTGGTAGGGTCACATCTTCCAACTTCCAAGCGCTTGCCGTGCTCTACGGCATCGTCTTCGCCGTCATGCTGGTAAGCAACCCCCACGCCCCTTCCCTGCCTCGATCCCAGTCTGGTCCGATCTATCAGAATTGCGCCATCACATGGGATTTTTTGTTGGTTTCAGTTGGTGCTCGACTCAATTGCGCACGCTGGTTTGTTGCGCAATTTTGCGGGAACCAGGGAATTGTGGGACGAATTGAGAGGCGGCACTATAATGTCCGTGGAGAATTTTGAATTCCCAATGTTTATTTCTCTGTAGATGCAGTTGATCAGAAAGTGCAGGGTGCCAGAGTATGAGTGGACAATGCAGAAGGTGTTCCACTTCCTCGGTGGTGAGCCAACCATTTGTGCCGCTTGCATTACTTTGCTTCTGCTATATGTTTCATTTGGTGGACAAATCATATGTTCTAATCTTGCCATCTAAATCTAATGGGGCAGACTTAGGGAATTCTGCGGACCCGTGCCAAACTCTAAAATAGAGTATTTTTTCCTTCAAAGATAGGACTATAATAATGGAATAGGCTATAATAATGTGAAAGTATAGTAGAATTCATGTTTAAAAAAAAAGATTAAAAAAATAGTAATTTAATGGTATTGCCGTATACAATTAGCACATTCCCCAAACTGTCATGCCTCTGAGCTCTGAAGGTCTCCATTATAGTATAAACTGTCATGTGTTGAGGTGCTAAACTTTACTTGAATGCAAACATTACAGGTTGCTCAAATTTGCATCAAGGTGAAATTAGCATGGCATGAGGCAGTAGGGACCAGTATTCTAAAAAAAACAGTTTCTACATTGTCATTCAAGTCATCTGGCATGTCAATTTAGATAACCTAAAGTCATTTGGCATGTCAGTTTGGATAACCTAAGCATGAAGCAACAACATGATCAATCATAAACTACACAACTTAGGTTTGTGCATTACTGCTTCTTATACTGCCTATGTTGAATTCCCATAAAATTGTTGTGCCTATTATTACAATAATTAAATTATTTGTTTGACAAATGGTTTACATTTTGCCAAAATGGATGTAACTGATATCAATAAGTTCGCTACTCGGTCCTAGCAGCAAGTTACATTTCAAATTTATTGATAGAAATCAAATATTCCATTGTCGATATATGTTGCAAAATAGAATCAAATATTTCCTTTGATTTTTGCTAAGTACGCACATTTTTCCTTTATGACAGATTGCTTGCATTTTTTGCTCATCCCAGCGCCCTCTTTTTTTTCTTGAGGGGATTTTAATAGTATATCAGCTGCCACATGATTCAAATCGTGCCCTCTGAACCTAGAGTGTAGATGTTATTGTGACTCACATGTGTAGATGTACTTCTCAGATCGAGGCCTATTAGTGCATCTACATGGGCCGTAGTATGTTCATAGTCAGATTACGAATGGGAAGCCAAATTCGACTGTTTTTGTAAAAATGATTAGGAGTTACCAAATTGATATGCTATTCCATCATGTGTGGATGCATGGTAAATAATAGACGTACCTCTATTTTTTTTCATGACCAAGCTAATGCACATATTTCATTAAGAGATACAGGAAAAAAAAACAATCTTTACAAAAAGAGCAGCAAGCCTTGGCTTGGCTGAACTTCAGCACCAGAGTTTGGCTAGGTCCTAATAATTTACAAACACCATTTGCAACGTAAACAACATCGGTCGCCAGCAGTCCTCACTAGAGAAACTAAGCTACTCGATGTTTGTTTCCTGCCATGATCCACAAGTTGGCCTCCTCGGCAACTCTAGTGACTATAAGTCATCAGCATCTCGACCGCACAGAAACTAGCTGTGTTTGGGATTAGCGGGTCTGGGATTGTTGCAACAAATTAGTAAGGTGAGGTCTTACTGTCATTTGGGAAAGTAAGTCAGGGTTGTACTATAGCCATGGGTCCATGACCTATAGGTACTATGCTATATTGCTATCTATAAATCGGTGTGATACTTTTAATTACACTGTTTCAGGGCAGCATAAAGTTGTACACCAAGTTTCACATTCTATGATATTAGATATGGGATAATTGGACACAAGCTTCTGGATAAGATGACAGCAATTCAGCCATGAGATAATAATTTTGGCTTCTGGTACCATCCTTTTCATGAGATTTCACAATTGTTGAGTAGTCAGTATATGTTATTCTTTGGTCCTTTTTATGCGATTTCACAATTGTTCAATAGCTCAGTTGCTGTTTAGAACGCAGGTATGGTGTGTTCTAAGAACTGGACTTGGCACTCTAATGCCCTAAGCCCTTGTTACTACTACAATATGGCGTAAGAAAATTTCTTATTATATTTCTAAATATTCTCAACCAGATATTCTTTGCTAAGATTTTTAACTGATGTCGTAAAGGAACTTCCTCACAAAAACATGAAAACACAAAAATACCATTTAAAGCAGCTTTATTATCAGAAAGTATAGATAAGAAGAACATATGTACAAGGATTAAGTCCACTTTTGGCCCCTCAACTATCACGCAGGCCGCTCCCCACCCGCAGGCTGCGCCGTCTCCGTCGACCTCCGCACGAGGAGCAGCCTACGCGCGGGGAGCGGGCCGCGGTGGCTGGCGGAGGAGGTGCGGCCTGCGCGCGGGGAGCGGCCCGCGGAGGCGGCGTGACCTCCGCATGAGGAGCAGCCCGCGGTGGACGGCGCAGCTTGCGCTCGGGGAGCGGGCCGCGGTGGCCGGCGGAGGAGGTGCGGCCTGCGCGCGGGGAGCAATTCACGGAGGCGGCGCGACCTCTGCACGAGGAGCAGCCCGCGGTGGACGGCGCAGCCTGTGCTCGGGGAGCGGGCCGCGGTGGCCGGCGGAGGAGGTGCATCCTGCGTGCGGGGAGCAATCCGCGGAGGCGGCGTGACCTCCGCACGAGGAGCAGCCCGCGGTGGACGGCACACCGCCTACGTGCGGGGAGCGGGCTGCGCTGGACGGCAAAGGAGGTGCGTCCTGCGTGCGGGGAGCAATCCGCAGCGGCCGGCGGAGGCAACGTTCGGAGCCCGCGAAGAGTCCGGCGGAGGCGGCGCTCTGCAGCGTAAATCGGCTGCGAACGCGGCTATCCCTCCCGTGCGTGCGTCCTACGTGGCGGTCAACGCCAGCGTGGCGGGTCAAAACCAGGTACACGTCGGCATGAAACAACCACAACCGTGTCTAGGTGCCAAGAGTGAACGGTTTTTAAACTTGAGGTTCCTGGACCAAACGGTTTTGTAGTTGGGGGTCAAAATTAGACCAACATGATTGTTGAGGGGCCAAAAGTGGACTTAATCCTATGTACAATGGTGTTAGTTAACAGATAGCGCTAATATGATATTTGTCTTGTTCAAATGCCTCAGAGTGCGTACTGTCATTGTAATTTGTTCAGTTTTGGTGGTGCGGGTCCATAAGCTACAATTTCATTGTTCTTTTGGTGTTCTTAATACCAACTTGTTTCTTAGTTCAACTTAGGTGTTCTAAACCTAATACTTCTAAAGTTGTGGGGGCCTTTTTCTTCGTGAATATGGGAATAGAGCTCCAGGTCTTCCTATCTCATCATTCATGCTATGGTACTCTCTGTTCCCAAGAATTCAGTTTTAAACACAAAACTTTTTTCAATATGGTACATACATTGCATCTATAAGGTAAGGGCCATGGTTGGTTCATGGGATTAAAGTAAGCTCTATTTCTCCTTATGCTAACCGGATGTGCTATTCCATCTATTTAATCCCAAGAATTCATGATATTGTAAAGGCCTGTTGAAATTGATAATATACTCCTCTTTCATTGAATTCAGGCCAATTGTCCACAATCAAGAATTCTCGCCATGATGGGAAAGGAGATGGAGCAGAAACTTCAACATTGTTTATTGCTTGCATTTCCCATGTTTGGCAATTATACTTCTCTACTCTGAGAGCTAAATGGTGTGTTTATGTGTGCACAAACTGGATGTAGGATATATTAAAAAAAAGACTGGATGTAGGATATCTAAGAGATGACATAGTTTTGCTTATTGCAAATATTAGTACAAGAATAATTGCACAGGAAGTGCATCCTTTGGTAAGACAGTCTATTGTATGGATGGAATATGCTGCATCAATTGTAATGGCACATGTTTGAAAGGGGTGTATCTGCATATCTTTTTTTTCTGAAATTATTGTTCCTGCCCTTCTCTTTTAATCATTCGAGGAGCAAGATTGTCTTGTTCTCAAGTGGAATGAACTATGAATAACATGTGAGGTTCTCTTCCCATAGAAGCCAAGTGATTGTTGCGAGCACATTTTATTTGACATGGCTAATCGTTTTGTGAGTGCCGGTAGCGCAAGTGTTATTCTTTCTGGCGGGATGGCTTACAATTAATCAATGGTTCCATTAGTGCCATGATATTTGGTCAGCGTTATCTTTTCATTCCTCGGTATTTTTTATAAGGTCCTTGACATTGGTTGTGTGGTCAGTAGGACACGGTTTATGCTTAAGTAAAACTATTTCATTGCATAGTAAACTGTGATTTTAGCTTTGTACAGTGAAACATGTAATTTTATGGGTTTTTTTCTTGCTCTCTCGCAACGCACGGACACTCACATAGTATTAACATAAGCCGGATAGCAACCGGATCTTTCAGAAAGAAAGAAAAACATTGAAGACATGATATGATTCAGCTAAACTATTGAGTAGTCTAATCTATTGAGTACTCTAATCTACTTAAGTACAGAGATGAAAGTATATGTTCACCTGCCGTTCTGTTTGAGCTAGCTACACTATGGAATCTTTCGGCCAAAAAGGACCCATAAACTTTCAACCAACCATGCCTTGATGATTATGGCAGTACCTTTAATCCTTTTTGTGGCCAGTTCCACATGATGCTTGCAGTAGCGAAAAAGTTTGTCAATTTATTTCATTGCTTCTGAACTATCTTTGTGAATGAATTCCTGATTTGAGTAGTGCTCCTGGTCTTGTTTATTTTGGGCAAGCAGAAATGTAGCGGCGCAAGCCGCAAGAGCGTTATATCTCTTGCGGTTCATCGAAACGCTGCTGTTGCCCAGAGTTTCGTACTGGCGGCGCATTCAGACACCTGGACCTGAATCGTGGCCATCGCGGGTTTCGCGACAATACAAGTATACAACCCTCCGTTTTTTCTTTCAGCGCCTGAGGAGAACATTTATTTATTTATTTATTTTCAAGTAGCACTGCTAGTGTACCCCGTGTAGGAGCATCGACGCAGCTCCATCGCGCCGCGGTGGCTGCAAGGCCAATGTGTACTGACAGGCAGCGTCCCGTACCTGAGCGCTCGAAGTTTCGGCCGTGACGAGGGCGACTGGAGAATCGTCACCGTGGAAAGAGAGACTCGATTATGCCCCACCCACCGGCTGGAAACTTGGAGCGTGCCGTGGGGGGTCATAGCCTCATAGGCGTCGCGTCGATGAAGCCGAAAGAAGTCGCGAGAAGCGGTGCGCCGTGGGAGCCAACGCCGCGCGCCAGTCCCTACCGAGCCCCATATATCTCGGGCACGCGCGGCCGGTCGGGCAAGACGAGCACGGCAGCACGCCACGGGACTACGCAAGATCCACCTGCACGCTGCGGCTTGGGCCCGGAGCGGGGGCAGCAGACCGTGCCGAGCCGAACAAGCGAGCAGGGTGGCAGACAAAATGAGCGAGGCGGACGGTCACGCCGGGGACGATGGGGCGAGCCGCCCCGCGCCCCGGCTGAACGAGAGGATCCTCTCGTCCCTGTCGCGGAGGTCCGTGGCCGCGCACCCATGGCATGACCTCGACATCGGTGAGAAATCTCTCCCCTCCCGTGCCCGTGGGACTTCATCTTCTTTCCACAACCAGTACCGCCGCGCGTTCTGTTTTCAGAGGTGTTTAGCTGCTCTCAGTGCTATAACTCCGGAGGTTCCTCTTCCTCTCTGTACGTGCGTGCAGGCCCTGACGCTCCCGCTGCGTTCAACGTTGTAAGTAACACTTAGCCTCACTACTTCGGTACTGCCCATCAATTTCTTCTTCTTCTTTGTTCCATGTATGTACGGCTGTAAGATAGCCGTTGCTTTCGAGGTTTGCGGGCTCTGTGTTTCTTGCGGCAGTGGCTTTGTTGTTGCCTTCTTCGCGAGGTTGTTGTTATTTTTTTATTTTTTTTACTTTTTTTATTTTGTAATACATGCCCGGCATACTCGTGCCGTGGCTCTTAAAAAAATGTATGTACGGCTGTGATCGTTGAGATAGGTCGTGGAGATCTCGAAAGGGAGCCAGGTCAAGTACGAGCTCGACAAGAAAACGGGGCTCATCAAGGTCAGTATATATAAATAACTGCAAGTCAGCTCGCCAGGGTCACTGTTTCAGAAGTGTCACGTACCGGTATGGCGGCATCAGGCTTCAAAATCTGAGCTGTTCTGTCAGATCGATCGCGTGCTGTACTCGTCGGTGGTGTACCCGCACAACTACGGCTTCATCCCGCGAACGCTCTGCGAGGACAACGACCCCATGGATGTCTTGGTGCTCATGCAGGTGTGTGTACTCTAGCTCCTGGAGTCCTTGACTAACCAACCACAACCAGTGCCAAGTCGTCGTTTCAAGAGAAGCCTGGTACTAGCTGAAGATGCGACCGCTTGAGATCCTCACTTGCAGGAACCAGTTCTTCCTGGCTGCTTCCTCCGAGCCAGAGCGATCGGCCTCATGCCTATGATTGACCAGGTACCATCTATTCATGGCACATCAAATCCTGCATCTTTGTACCAGTCAGTTCTAGCCTTCTAGGTGAGAAATACGATTGGTCTCATGGTCTATTGTCGAGTTGTCGGGACAGGGAGAGAAGGACGACAAGATCATAGCTGTCTGCACCGATGATCCCGAGTACCGCCACTACAATGATCTCAACGAGCTCTCGCCTCATCGCGTCCAAGAGATCCGAAGGTTCTTCGAGGACTGTAAGCTGCCAGTCTTCAGCTTGCTTCTGTTTACAGAGTTCAGTCTTTCTGTTGCTGAATCCATGGCTCTCTCAAAACAAATGTTCAGATAAGAAGAACGAGAACAAGGAGGTTGCCGTCAACGAGGTGCAGCCTGCGAGCGCTGCCCGCGATGTCATCCAGTACTCCATGTTAGTGTCCAAACTAGAGCATTTTCAGGCCTCACATAGCATGGACTTTCCTCTGTCTTCAAAGTATCGAACAATCTATGACATGATCACATTTTTGCAGGGATCTCTATGCACAATACATTTTGCAGAGCCTGCGGCAGTAGTTTCATCATTTACGACACCTGGGCACTTCTTCTCCACCAGTACTTAGCGTGTATGGATAACTCGAAGCAAACTATGAGTATGCTTAGGTTGGTAATAACACAAAGCTTTTAGGTGCTAGAGATGCATATGTGCATGCATGTATATGAGTATGTAACTTTTACGGAGGCCCTTAGTTGCTTGTGAAGCTGTTCCGGGCCTCCATACTATATATTACACTGAATGTTACAAACTTACGACGACACCAAGGAAAGAAATGACTGAAACTCTGAATCAGGTCACAGCAGAGCCAGGAACCTCATTTGGGTTCCCCGATCAAGCTGAGCTTGACTTTGCATGCTCGGCGAACAATGCTTTGATTTCCTCCACGTCGTCGTAGCTGCCGAGGAATATCGGAGATCTCTCGTGGATCTTGGTTGGGACCAGATCAAGAGCCTGCAGTGCCAATGTATCAACATGTTTCACCGCAGGTACTGAACAGGCAGTTCTATAACAAGGGAGCAGAAATGCTTTTTTTCTATAGAAAAATAGAGAGGCCCAAATCCTACCCGTTCTTTGCCTGTGAAGGACTGACCTCCAGCCTGCTCCATTAGGAATGACATGGGGAAAACTTCATACAGGACACTGCCAAACCAAACCAATCGAGTCAGGTTCAGGAGTGTTACGAGTGTATATGCAACTGGAGACTGGATGTAACGGATGCCAAATGAGAGTAGGCGTCAGCTTACCGGAGCTTTCCATTTGGGCTCTTCTGGTCAGCAGGGTACAAAAATACACCTCCATATAGCAAGGTACGGTGCACATCAGCAACCATACTGTAAAAGTAAACCATCAACAGCAACGTGTGTTTTAGTATCTGTATAAACTACCATCCTACGTCATGTAAAGGGCCTATACATTCATTTTACCGGTGAAAGTCTTGATTACTGAAAGATCGACTCACCTTCCAATGTATCTCAAAGATTTTGGTGGCGAACCATCTTTGGGGTATTTGCACTTCTCCACAAACCTGTGATTTATGGTGTAAGCTATAGCTGGAGCTTCGTTTCAAAAAAAAAAAGAGGCAGGGCGTTCTTAAGCAAGCAAGGAAGCACTATTTTTTTTAGATAATGATGAAGTAAGGAAGCACTATGAACACAAATGAGACCTACTTTGCAACAGGCACGTCCCAATTTTTGGCGTTCCCTTCATTGACTGAATAAATCTTCCCCTTCTTAGGAATCTGCACAAAGAGAGAGATGAGTGGTAGACTGATAGTAATCAGTATTCTGTTTGCCTGAACAATTGAACAAGAAAAAGGACTGAAGCTAAAAAATAACCTTGATGTCTGGATGAGTTAGTATGAACTCGCCAAGTGAAGGATCAAGTGTGAAGCCATTGACACCACTTCCAGTGCTCAGAACAAGCTGCATCAGATTAGTTGCACATGTCAATTCAAATGGGACATTACAGATGATTGTCTTCAGAGAAGATGGGTTCGAAGAACTGATTACCGTGCAGGAACTGCCATACATGCAGTATCCGGCGGCAAGCATGTCCTTGCCAGGTTGCAGTACGTCGTCCAGAGTGACATTGTCCTTGTCCTTGATGATGTAAATCCCGAAGATCTACAGAAGAAAAAGAATTTTCTTGGAGGAAACTCATGTAAAGAAACGTGAAACCTGCTGAATTAAACACACACACACACACACACACACTAAAGAACAGACATGGAAAAACTCAAAAAAGATTGACAAAGGCGCAGTTTTTTACAAAATTTGTGAATGGTCAAGTCGCGATGACAAATTAAGTTAGACGCAGAAAGCACGTTGTTGTGCTGTCAGCTTAAATTTCCAGTTATTTCAGACCCATAAATAAATCTAGAAAACTAGGTAACAAAGGAACTGTTTTTTTTAATAAAGGGTAACAAAGGAACTATTCATTTGCTTAAGTCTTGCTTTTGATGTCGCTGTCCTGACATTTTTGTAACGAAATTCAACGTTCCATAAAAGGACCCAGAGATTTCTTGTGTTCATACCGTTCCGATGGAGACGCCACAGTCGATGTTGGAGGAGCCGTCGAGGGGATCAAAGCAAACACAATACCTTTAATTTATAGAAAAGCGATGCATACATACATTTCATCAGAAAACATTCATGTCACCAAGGTAGCAAGCAAGAAGAGCATACGTATAGGCAGCTCAAGTTCAGTCTGCTCACTTTCCGCGTAGCTTAGGGTCCACGAACGTTGCTTCCTCGTCCTCCTCGGACACAAGGACGCACTGCATGCGTACACCGGCGCCGAGTCACCAGAAAGCAAAACACTCGGAACTCAAACGGACAATCGCAAATGGACAAGAAGGATTTCGTACGGTGCGACCGCTGCTGACGAGGGCCTTGACGAACACCTCGTTGGACAGGACATCCAGCTTCTTCTGCTCCTCTCCCTGTCGCACGTCGAACAACCAAGGCATCGTCACATCTCGATCAATCTCTCTGAAGAAAAAACTGCGACTGCGAGCGATCTAGCTAGGTAGACGGTCGTGAGAATAAGCCGGCGGCCGGGCCGGCGCATGCACTTGCCTGCACGTTGGTCTCGCCGGCGAGCCCAATGAGCTGGGCGAGTCCGGCCTTGTTGACGGCGGAGGCGACGAACTTGCAGCCGAGGACGATGTGGGAGAGCAGGATGGTGAAGTCGCCGCGGGACTCGGGGTTCCGGCTCTGCTCGTTCAGCACGTGCCGCGTGATGGTCATCAGGTCCGTCCGGTGCGCGTCCGCCGCGTGGTCCATCTCGCCTCCGCTTCGCCGCCCCGGCCGCGCGCCCTCGCTCCCTGCTGGCACTTCGGCTAGCTAGCTACCCAGTGGTGAACTGGTGATCACGCAGTGCAGAGCGCGCGGGCACGAAGAACCAGCTGCTGCTCCCGCGCGCATGGTAATATCTACTAGTAGAAGTGAGGCTGGGAGGCAAGGGTTGCGGACCTCCAACGGAATCGGCGCCGAGGCCTATCCCTCTATCCGCTGCGGCTGGCTGGGCCACCCGCGTCGAGCGCTTGTGGTGGTGGTGCGGTGGCGTAAGTAGCGCGCGGCAGGACGTACAGTAGGAAGGAAGGTAGGGGAGGGCGATTGCCATCAGAGACGAGAGCGAGGCTTTGTCCCGTCGTGGTCGTGGCGCGTACAGACGAGGACGCGGGCGGGGGGAGGCCCCAACGCGGGCAGGGGGTGTTAGGATAGGACCAGGCAGGGCGTTAGCAACGGCCTGAAAGCGAGACGGCTCCGATGGTCTGGTGTTTGTCACTGGGCAGAATGGCAGCTCGCCTGATGGGCAGGGGCAGCCGGCCAGCGGGGGCCGGTCACCAATTACCCAATTACCTGCCTAATGGCCTGGCCCTTACGCGTGCAATATGCCTGCGGTTCCCTGGTCACGGCTGGGCCGCGACGGCATCCTGCCGATTGGACGCTTCACCTGCACGCTAGCCCGGTTCCGGTCCATCCGCGGACTTGCTTTTTTTTTTAGAATTTCCGGGGACCTGCTTTACAATTGCGTCCACGTACCGATTCGCTTTTGCATTTCGTCTCCTGTCGAGACGGTTAGGAAGTACTACTCCGTAGTTTGTGAGCCTGACAAACACAGGTTCGAGCAAGAGTGATCAGCATGGAAGATTCCAGAGGGAACAAAACCATGTCGGCGATTTAACAGTGTCCTTATGGCCAGGTAATCGCAAGTAGCAAGATCAGCTAAGTGCGAGTGAAACAAGTACAAGCGTGCACCAAACTTGGTAGAGTTGTTTAAGAATGTGACATATGCTGTGGACATCAAATGTGCTCCAGCAAACTTTGAGAATTTAACAATATGGGTCATTTCTGCGGTTTGAGGCAAGCCTTATATAGTACAATAAATGGTGTTAGTGGGTGCTACAAGGTTTCATCACTAAAGAATGAAAGTCCATGGCCTGTTTGGAGAGCAGGAATTCTCACAAGAAAGCAGTATAATTCTGGCAGGTCTTGGAGAAAATTATAGCCTTCCAAACTGAGACCAACAGCACTGAGCTCGAGCCTTGCAACCACGTGTCCACGCTTCATGGGCGACTTAACTTACAATAAATTAGCACAATATCGACCATTTTTGTTTCTGAAAAAAAAAGAGAATAGAAAAACTAGCTGAAATTTAATCAGATGAAAAGAGATGATAAGGCCTAATAATAATTACTCCCTCTATTCCAGATTCTAATACGTTTTGGGTTTTTCTAGATACATTGCTTTTGCTATGTATCTAGACATAGTATAATAATTACTCCCTCTATTCCAGATTCTAATACGTTTTGGGTTTTTCTAGATACATTGCTTTTGCTATGTATCTAGACATAGTGTATATCTAAGTACATAGCAAAAACTATGTATCTAGAAAACTCAAAACATCTTATAATTTGGAATGGATGGAATAAGATCTCAAAAAAACAGCATTAACCACCTTGCAACCATGATTGAAGCGCCACAGTTTAAAGAATTGTGCAGCATGAGTTTGTCTTCTTTGCCTGCTTGTAGAACATCTGAAAGACAGAATAACATTTCTCAAGAATGTGAATACACAAGAACACACTGTGACATAATGCATACTTATAAACACAAAGTAAGCTGAAGAGCACTCAGAATTTTTAAGACTAAGTCACATATTCTGCATATCCGCAAACTGCAATTACTCTGGAATCTGAATTGCTATTAAAGAAATCCACATTACAACCTATGACTCTATCAGCCACACTCCACTTCCTCTAAAGCCATAGAGAGATCATAATATATTCCAGGCAAACACTGCCACTTCAATTAGAGATTTTAGACTGACATGAATGGTTGAGGATCAGGGTGAATGAAGTGTGCCGGAAACCAGATTATTTATCTGATGCATGTCTTAAGAGTAACTCACTCTGTCCATCTATTCTATGATCAGAATATTTGCTGGGGCCTAGGGCCGGCAGCAAGACCAGGGAGAAGGAAAATTCTCACCGTCATCCGTTAACTCATGCATG